TCCCCTTAGGTCTTCTTTAATAATTCTTTAAACCAAATTCTAATGTGATAAAGATTAATTCTGTATTCCATTAACTCTGTATTGCATGGATTTCAAATTAGATTTGAATGTGTAACAGTGAATACAAAATTGCAAATACATATGTATACAGACACAGTGACAAGTTTACTCATGGTTTTTCAAGCCATCGGTAAAATCTTAGCAGCCCACATTCATTCAGCACAGTCCACAAAAAGCACAAGCTGATTGTCTATGACTAGAATCTTTACCTGGAAGTGTACTCTTGGTTCAGACCTATAAATAAAGGCATGCAATTCACAGAATTATGGAACTGTGTGTCCTCACATTAGGGACTAAGGGTAGATGGACATTCTTATGTCTACCAGCCATCTAGTTCCCTAATAGGCACTCTCTCTGAGTTGGCAGAAGTACTACAAGATGGAGACCCCTAGACTGATCTTTCTGGGGGACTTCAATATTCATTATGAGGGCACCCTGTCAGGCCTGGCCCAGGACATACAGCTTCTTTGACTACCTTGGGTCTCTCCCAAGTCATGACTAGCCCAACACCTGAAAGAAGTCATGCCTTGGACTTAATCTTTTTCATTGAACCTTTGAGGGCAGGTTTAGTTTCAGAGCTGGCAACTCACCCTGAACCATGGTCTGACCACTACCTACTTAAAACCAAAGTGAATGTGCCTCCAACACATGCATGGGGTGGGGGGTAAAATGGCCCACCGACTAAAACTCATGAATCCTACTGGATTCCAGAATGTTCTGGGGGGGCGGGTTAGGATTCCAAACATGTACTGTGTTGAGACTGCAGTAGAAGCACAGAAGCTGTTGACTCCCTGAAGCTGTTGACAAGGTTGCCCCTCTTCGACCTCTCCCACCCTTGGGATGAAACCCAATCCCCTGGTTTACCACAGAGCTCGGTGATCTGAAAAGGGTTGGGAAACATCAAAATTGTACTGAATCTGACAAATCATGCTATAGAGCACATTGTAAGTCTTATGAAATGGTGGTGATGGCAGCAAAGAAAGGTTACTTATCTATTAGTATAGCATCACCTAGTTCATATGTCCAGCTCAATTATTCAAGATAGCTCAGCATCTGCTGATGCCTAAATCTTAGTCTTTACTGCCCCAGGCACAGACAATTAGCTTTTGTCAAGTGTTTTGCTTATAAAGTATCAAGAATATGCACTGACCTGGATGTCACCTGTAGCATAGGTACACCAGAAGAATAGCCTAATACACTGCCTGGCCAATTTATAGATCATTTTAACCCCATTTCCATAATGGATCTGAGGGCCACCACTTGTACCCTGGACCCTCACCCATCCTGGCTGCTAAAATAATGTAATAACCATATCAACAAACCTTTAGCATCTCTCCTTATATATAATTGAGTAGTGGTCCCACAACGTTCTATGCACTCCAAAATTAGTTGGCTCCGTGATGTCTCAATCACAAGGTGTCTCTATCCATTGGCTGTGTTGCCTGAGTTCTCTCCCACTCACTGCAGCCTAGGCGACTCTTCTCTGATTGGCCCAGCGTTTCAAGGTCATTTGCATATGGAAGCTGACTGGACTTCACTCCATTCCGCACCTCAAACTCCCCCCTCCCGCGAGACAGTTGGAACTGTCAGTTGCATATGGGACCTGCTGTATTCTGAGGTAAAATATGTCCTCACTCACAACACATCACTTTCCCTTCAAGAGAAACAAACCCAATAACACAATCATGCCACACCACAAAAAAGACAGATCACACCACAAGCAGAATACCACAAGGCAAAAAATGATAGGAAAAGGTGCCAGCAGTCTGGGCTTCAGAACATGGTGGGGGCTGCTGGTGGGGGAGGGAGATGGAAAGCTGATCAATGAGGGGGAAATGTAGGTTGATGCTTGGCTGGGAAGTAGATAGGTTTGCCAATTCCAGATGGGAAAATCCTGGAGATTTGAGAGATGGAGTCTGGAGAGGGTGAGGTTTGAGGAGTGGGGCCTCAGACAGGTACAGTGCAATAGACTCTGCCCTCCAAACCAGACATTCCGTAATGGGGAACCACTGTTGCCAATCTCCAGGTGGGAGCTGGAGATCACTCAGAATTGCAACTGCTCTCCAGATGGCATTGATCCATTCCCCTGGAGAAAATGGTAGACTCTGTGTCCTTATACCCTGCTTAGGTTGCAATGGCAAATTGATTCTGAGTGCCCACGGCCTTGGCACTCTCCCAGAGCCTCTTCCTAGTGCTCATTGTATTTATTTCCACAATGGGCCTTATTCCTAGTCTATTATAAATCAGTCAGGACAGCTTCCCTTAGCCACTCAAAGTGGCAGTTATCCATCCACTACTTTAAAAAGCCAGCCCTACAGAACAATGATGTGGCCAATGATTGCCCAGCCTCTAATCTACCCTTTCTGGCCAAAGTGATTGATAGCAGCAGCAGACCAAGTCTTCTTGGATACCCCATCTCCCCTAGATCCTTTTCAGTCCAGCTTCAAGCCAGGCTATGCAACACAGACAGCACTGCTAGCTTTAGTTGATGACCTCCATCTGAGTGTGGACAAAGGCCATGCCTCTATGTTGCTCTTATTGGAGTTATCTGCAGCCTTTGATCTTGCTGAGATGGTTGGAGACAGAAGTAGGTATGAGAGGATGTGCCTTGAACTGGTTCAAATCATTCTTCATAGATGAAGCTCAAAAGTTTGCTATTGGAAGCCAGTTGTCACCAGTGTGGGACTTGTCTTGTGGGTTTCCACAGTGTGCAATTCTATCCCCCATGTTTTCCAATATCTATGTAAAGCTTTTGAGTCAAAGCAGTCACAGTTTTAGGGGTTGGCTGACATCAATATGCTGATGATACTCATTTCTATATATCTTTATCCAAATCTCCTGGTAATATGGTAGAAGTCCTAAATACTCTGGCTGCTGTAATTAACTGGGTAAAAGTGAACAAATTGAAACTAAACCCTCAAAATACACAGGTAATACTGGGTAGGAAGGTGGAAGTCTTGAAGGACATTGTTCTCCCCACTTTTGATGGACTGCAACTGATCCTTGCTGACTTAGTTAAAAGCCTAGGAATTATACTGGATCCAACTTTATTACTGGATAAGTAACATAGCTCCAAAAAAGGCTTTCTTCCAACTCAGCCTAACCCATAAGATGGCCCTTACCTTGATATGGCTGATCTAGCCACCTGGCTCCATGCTACAGTAATATCAAGACTAGACTACTGTAATGAACTGTACATTGGTCTCCCATTAAAATCAACTCGGAAACTCCAAGTGGTACAGAATGCCACAGCTCAGCTATTGGCACTAGATGGAGCACACATATTACTCCCATTCTGCAGTCAGTTAATCGGCTGCCTATTTGTTAGTGGACTCAATTTAAGGTACTGGCTATCACATACAAAGCCCTTCACGGCTCTGGTCCCTCTTATCTGTGGGACCGCTTCTCCCCCTATACTCTGCTATGACAACTTTGCTCATCTAAACAGGGGCTTCTGCAGGTGCCAACCTGCAAATGGCCCAAATCAACAACTGCCAGTGCATGTCCTTTCTTTTTAAGGAATGGCCTCCCCAAAGAGGTCAGGAAGGCTTTGACTCTCCTGGCTTTCCACAAACTATGCAAAACTGAATTTTTGAAGAGGGCCTTTTGCACTGGTAAGAGGATTGCACAGTACAAAAATTGTTTACAAATTTATTTGGATAAATGATTAGGGACTCTGTGTGTGTGTTTGTGTATACGTGTGTGTGTGGAGTTTGTAAGCCACTCTGAGACTCCAAGTGAAGGGCGGGATATAAATCCAATCTCCTCTTCTTCTTCTTATGCTATGCTTACGCCTGGCTGCTGCCATGTCAAGGTACATGACCATCTTATGGGTTAGGCTGAGGTGGCAGAAAGCCTTTTTTGAAGCTGCATTAACTTGTTTTTCCAGTAGTGAAGTTGGATCCAGTATAATTCAACAGCTTTTAATTGAGGGCGATTCTGCATTGTTTTTCCCTCCGTTGTTTTACCAAACCCATATTGGAACAGAAATCCCCCCCTGCACTGCATGCTGCTTTCACTTTCTTTGATCATTGGATTTGATGGTACCCTCTACACTGCATGCCATTTTCACTTTCTTTGATCATCAGGTTTTATGGTACCTTCTGCATAGATTTATGGCCATTCAAGGGTGACTTCGTAGTCAGTACAGCGTTGCCCCGGGGTATTTGAATGTGGTTTTGAGCTGCACCATTTACTCAGTGTGGAAAAGTTGTGGAGCGAATGCCAGATGAAGAATTGCCTTGTGTCAACAAGGGCCAGTTGTATTCCATCTAAAATGGGGAGAACAATGTCCTTCGAGGCTTCCACCTTCCTACTTAGCAATACCTCTGCCTTTTAAGGGTTTAGTTTCAATCTGTTCACTTTCAGCCAGTCAATCACAGCAGCAAGACATAAGTATTAACAGCCTGTTAATACTTATGCTACTCTTCCATTTTTCTGGTTGGTTCCAGACTTCTATAATCCTAGTACATTGAATATCCCATTTTGTTGATTATACTGACTCACTATGTGCAATCTGCCTTGAGTCCCTGTGTGAAAGGCAGACTATAAATAATGTAAATAAATAGATAAAATTTAGGTCTTAATAATCCCATCACTGAGACATTCAGTTTGAGAGTTTAAGATGTCATACCATACCAAGTTTTAAGAAGATTATATACAAGTAGCACAATATAGCCAACATTAAGCATTTTTACATCCCATTAGTTCTCTCACATAGAACTCAGTAGAACTAACTGTGCTCACCTTTGGCTGGATCAGGTCTATAGTGAAAATAGACTCATGTAGCTCTATGTACATTTGAACTATGTGATCTTGAAAAAATGGAGTGAGTTGTCATGGGGAAAGCATCAAGACATGCTTATCATGCCTTTTTTAAAAAATAATAAAATCCCATACAAAGGAATGCATTAAAATTGGCAAAGATATTAAAGTCTTACCAGGAATGGACTCCAGCAAATGCAAGAGACACACATTATAGCCAAGAGCTGAATGATCATTTCAAAATGATGAGATCTGCCTTGTCTATGTTGACTCTTAAATTTGACCCTCAAAAGTGTAATTCCCGTCACAGCATTGCACAAGAATGAAATACCAAGGGCCAATAAACCCAAGCATGAAAAAAGTAGGAGGTAAAATCTGTCTTCCCAGTCTTCAACATGTTCTGTTTTATAGAAACACCAGGTCCTTGATGCCTGAATTTGGTAGGCTTTCAACCTAAATATAGGTAGCAAAGCTATGAAAATAGCAAAAAGGCATACAATAGTCAAAATCATTTTTACATGTTTAGAAGTCATTTTTGTTGAATGAAATATTGGCTTTGTGACTCCTATGCAGCGTTCAACAGCCATCACACTGCCCAAAAAAAGGGGACATAGTCCAAAAAACACCATACAGATGCCAAAAATGCTACAGAGAACATTTGACTGATTAAATCGGATCCAGTCTTTGTCAGATATATATACAAATACTGCAATGGTTCCAGTGATGAGATGACCCAGCAAGTCTGTGATAACCAAGCCACTAGCAAAAAGCAAAAAAGAGGCTTTTGATTTCTGTCTAAACCTCTGATAAGCCTTCATAAGAATTGCTATTGCAAGTGTGTTAGATAAAATTCCCACTGTCATAAAAATTACAGAAAAAAATACAGAAATCTTCTTTTCTGTGCGACACGTTGTGTTGGAAAATATACCATTTCCAGCCAACACCGATGATTTTGAACTGTTCATTGTCAGAAAGGTAAACTCAGCAGTCAAAAAATTTCAGTAGTCAGGCGATCATCAGGCATCTGCAACACATTTTTTAAAGGTTGTTTAGAAGACATATGACTGAAACACCAAAGTTTTTATGACATCAAATCTGCACAGCTATTTTGGAGTTCAATGTAGCACAATATTTTACAGCAGTAAGCATCTCTGTATAACAGTAAAAAGTTAATACTGCACTCCTACACACATTTATAAAGCTTTTTCATCATGTAATTCCATTTCATAATGTATCTTTTAGCACTAAAAATGTCAAGATTTGAAATGCTTAAAACAAACCCAAGAAATACATATAAAATAACAGAATTGTTGTATCACCATAAAAGGTCGTTTCATTTCCAGAAATAATGTTCTGATACATCTGAAATTGCTGTCATCTTTCAGCTAAATAATTAAACCTACACAGTAAATCTATTCAAAACCATTCCTCTGCAGTGACATCTGAATGCTTTTGAATTGAATTGCCTGGTTTCTGTCTACTCTATTCTGTCTTTGCTATATTCTGCCTAATCCTTATACTAATAGCCAAAATGTACGGATACTTATTTCTGCCAACAGAGGGCTCACTCTCCCCCAACAGCTTTTCCTACATAGGAATTGGATTTGTAGAAAAATCCAAAAACTAAAAAAATCCCTTCAGGGACAGTTGAATTCCCCCCAAAACCTTTTGAAATGGCCTCTGCAGGGATCCACTTCAAGCATCAACGGTGAGAGATGGTGAGAGATTAGAATGTTCGGGGGAGAGGCTTCTAACTGGCTCTGTCAATAAAAGGGTGGCTTTCTAGGCCTATTTTGGCCTTTCAGGGAGGGAGGGAGGGAGCCTTGGGGCCAGGCCTCACAAGAGTTGCCAGTGCCAGGCTGGGGGATTCCTAGAGATTTTCTGGTGGACTCTAAGGAGGGCTGGGTTTGGGAAGGGAGAGGCCTCAGCTGGGTATACTGCCACAGAGTCCACCCTCCAAAGCAGACCTCTGCTGTCTAGAGTCCAGTTGTAATTCTGGGGGGTCTCCAGGTCCCATTTGGAGGTTGGGAACTCTAGGCCTGGCAATAGTCTAGGGTTGCCAGGACCCCCCTGATTTGCATGACTCACCTAGCCTCGGCTGCTTGCTACCGTTCATCAGCAGCCACCCTATGAAAGCCAGTGAGGTGCAGCAGTTAGAGCTTCAAAGTAGGGTCTGCAAGACCCAGGTTCAGATCCCCATCTTCCAGTGGAAGCTGACTGCATGAATGTGGACCAGTCACATAATTCAGCCTAACCAACCTCACAGAGTTGTTGTGCAGATAAAAAGGAGGGAATAATGAAAGCTGCTTTGGTCCCCACTGTGGAGAAAGACTGCAATTTTCCTAGGTAGAGGCTGAGGGGGTGGAGATGGAAAGCAGAAGACAGAGAGGCAGATAAAGGTAGGTTGGCTGTTGGGTGGAAAGGAAATAGGGTTGCTAATTCCAGGTTGGGAAATCCCTCCAGGGTGAAGCCTGGAGAGGGTGGGATTTGAGGAGGGGAGGAACTTCGGACTGGTGTAATGCCATAGACTCCACCCTCCAGCCATTTCCTCCATGAGAACCACGGGTGAGGACTGGAGATCACCCAGAATTACAACTGTTGTCCAGGCGACAGAGATCAGTTCCCCTGGATAAAATGGCTGTTTTGGAGGGTTGAGTTTATGACATCATACCCTGCTGAGGCTGCTTGCCTCCCTAAGCCTCACTGTCCCAAGGCTCCACCCCCAAATCTCCAGGAATTTCCCAAACTGGAGCTGGCAGCCCTAAGGTGAATTGATCTCTGTAGCTGGGAGATCCATTGTGATTCCCAGAGCGCTGCCACTGCTGCTGTGGGGGGAGAGGAAACAGGTGGGTGGCTGGGAGCACTGCAACCACTGCTGCTGCTGCTCTGCGGAGTGTGAGAGGAAGCAGGCAGGAAGCTGGGAGAGTGATGGGGGCAGAAAGAAAGAATGATGGGGTGGAGGCAGAAAGAAAGAGAAAGAGTGATGAAGGGGGGAAGCAGAAAAACAAAGAGAAAGATGACAGGTCAGAAAGAGAGAGGAAGTCATATACATGCAGGAGAAATAGAAAGTAAGAAAAGCGGGGCAGAGGGGAGAAATAGTGTGAGAGAGGTAGGGGGTGAGGAGAGGAAGAAAAGGTGTGACGAATGAGATAACCATCCGGCAAGTTTCTTGCGAGTCTCCACTTGTATATATCTAATTCTTCCAGAATCTTTGCATTTTCCTAATGGAATTTGATCATGCAAGTAAAGTCTTTTTCTACAACTTAAAATATTAGCCCTAAACAAGTCTGAAATGCTCACAGTGCTATTAGCATGAGCAGTCAGGGAATGAAGATAATACTAGGACCATATAGAGAAGTAAAATGTGGAAGTCTTAGACATTGTTATGAGTTTGGCTGTTTCAGTAAGAATGAATAGACTTATGCTCTTGCCTAATAAACTTGAATAAAAGTATATCAAAAAGTCTTTTATAAGTCTTAATGGTCTGGAAGCTCTCCGAACAATGGCATGAGAGACCTTTCAGAATCTTTTTTATAAAATGAATTTGGACATACACTCTGGGCTAGCCTGACCATATAGGTGATATAGGTGGTTGTGTAGGACACCAAGCTTTCAGGGGTGCAAAATTAGACAGAAGTGAATGTCTATATTTATTTTTACATTATTTGTTTTGAATGCCATGTAAATAAAGGTAAAACTTCATACTTATTCTTTCATTTATTGAGTGTGGTTGGGGAACACCAAATTCATAGTTTGCCTAAGGCACTGAAAATCCTTTGGCCAGCTCTGCACATACTGAAGTAGATAGAATATTTTGTAGCTTTGAATTTTGCTGGAAAAACTTAGGTTTTGTGAAAACTTAATGCAAGAGCAATAGTTTTGTTGCCTGCATTTGTTTAATTTTACTATGCCATGTCTGTAGATTTGTAAAAGCAGTGTAACAAAGAACATAAATCTCCAGCACTCTCAGCCAAAGGAAACTAAACTCAGTGTTGCCTCTGAACATATTACATAGAGAAGTGCATTTAGAAAAGGTATTTATTCAATAATATCCTGGTTTTCTCTTCCATTTGTATGTAAAGCAGTTTTTAGAACACTGTTCTCCCCTCCTCCATTTTCTCACAACAGCCCTGTGAGGTAGGCCAGGCTGAGAGTTTGTCACAAGCCCAAGTTTCCCTGGCAGAAGTGGGGATTCAAGCCTAGGTTGTCCAGGGCCCTTGTCCGCCACTCTGTACACTATACCACACTAGCTCACACTGAGGAAAGATTAATAATATTGTCATGTTTTGAGACTTTGAGCTCTTAATTATTTTTTCTGTGAAATGAAGCATAAGAATCTGAAACATTAAAAGAAAAATAAATGAGTGTTCAAAAATAGCTTTCCTTCATAATTAACCCAGTTTTGCACACAAACTGAAACTCTTCTTCTTACACTAGATTCATACGAACATTGTTTCCTCTCTACCTGAACGTGATTTTGCAGTCTTCTCACAGTACATGCATTTCAAAAGAGAGTTTGTAGCATTGGACTTGCTCACTATCCTGGCTCAAGCAAGCATCAAAACTAGACATGCTGGTTATGTAATGGTAATGGAACTCAGTTTCGGCTGCACCAAAGCTGAACGGTTGGTTCAAGGGTACTTTATCTCAGCTGGATGAACATTGTGACCATTTCCTTCTGGAAGGGAGAAACTAGTAACAGGTAACCACTTTTTACTAGAAGTTCACATACTGTTGTTCCAAAAGCTGCAGATATTAGGATGTAATGAAAAGAAATAATAAAGAGTAATTTGATAGTAACAACAATGTGATTTTGATCTAACAGAAGGATCATAAGAGGCAAAAAGCTACATTCAGAGACATTACGACCAATTAAGGGTTTCTAATTTGCTTAAAGCATTTATATGTGTATCAGTGCATTCCAATGCAAAGTTACTCCAATCTAAGTCCACTGACGAGAGTCGCTTTGCATAGGATTGTACTGTGGGTGTTCTATTTTGTTGATACATACAAGTGCTGCTGTATGTTCAGTCATCTCAGGGAAGTAAAATCAAGCCCTGATTTTATAAATTGGACTGTTAGTTGAAATAAGGGCCTCTTCTCCCATTTGAGACAACAGTGTAAGGTGTATTGTTTAGGCAGGCTTTTTCCTGACTTGGTTTTAATTGTGTTTAATTGTGTTAGTATTTTAATATTTAGTAGTTAGTATCTTAATATGTCAGATTTCTGGGGGGGTTTAATGTTTGTTTTGAGCAATGAAGGGAAATGTTATAGAATACTGCAAATAAATCTTGAGAAGTTGTAAATACAAACAAACTGCTAAGTAAGCCTATCTTATATTCTATTAATGCAGGCAGTAAACTGCCAGATCTGAATTCAACCCATCAGAGACAAAAAGTAATGATAGGCTGCTGCCACACACGCTAAATAATCCACTTTAAATCCACTTTTAGTGCACTTTCAAAGTGGATTTTGCCAGTTCACACAGTAAAACTCCACTTTGAAAGTGTACTGAAAGTGGATTGAAAGTGGATTACTTAGCGTGTGTGGCAGCAGCCATAGAACTATATCCTGACAACTCACAACAGAATGAATTAAAGTTTCACACATTTTTGACACAAACATTTTGCCAAACCTAAATTATTCACATTATTCAAATTCCTTGACATTTGCTACAGTGCTTTTTCCATGAGAAAAAGCCATGAATCATACACAGTAGATATATTAAAGGATCTGTTAATCAGACAGTCTCCCATCTACAGCTGATTGAAATCAAAATGTTACAAAAGTACGATGTGCCTTTGCTACACTGTGATAGGGGAGAAGCAGGAGATCAGTAGACTCTAACAGCAGAAGGGCTTTCACAGTTAACAACAACCATCCAGCATTGCATGTCTATGATCCCCGTTCCTTACCCATTAAGAACATTTTAGGGAAACACACTGGCAACAAGAATTCAGATCTA